CTGCTGTACAACCAGTATCACTATCCACCTCCAGAACTTTTTCATCTTTTCCAACTGAAACTGTACTCATTGAACCCCACTTCCCCCCACCTACTCCCCCCAGCTCCTGGCAACCATCCTTCTACTTTCTGTCTCTATGAGTTGTCTATTCTAAGTTCCTCATAAGTGGAATCATGCAGTATTTGTACTTTTGTATCTGGTTTATTTCAGTTAGCATAATGCCTTCAAAGTTCACCCACTTTTTATGCAGCATGTGTCAGAATTCCCTTGTTTTTAAGGGAATGGTAATATTTCATTGCATATATAGATATACATCACAATTTGTTTAGCTATTTGTCCGTTGATGGACATTTGGGTTGTTTCCACTTTTTGGCTATTGTGAATAATCCTGCTATGAACACTGGTGTACAAATACCGGTTTAAGTCCCTGCTTTCCATTCTTTTGGCCACATGCCCAGGAGAGTAAATGCTGGATTATATTATAATTCTAATTTTTTTAAGGAACTGCCATGCAGTTTTTCACAATGGCTGCACCATATTACATTCCTACCAGCAATATACAAGGGCTCTATTTCTGCACATCTTACCCAACACTTCTTTTCTGTTTTTTGGTAATACTCATCCGGATGGGTGAGAAGCGACATCTCATTGTGGTTTTGATTGGACCAGGCAATAGTGCGGTGGCTTCTTCGACGATGTGTGTACCACAGGAGACTGAAGGTTTGTAACGTCATCACCTGCCCCTGCAACTGCTTCAGTCAGCTCCACGCCTCCTGCCCCAGCGGAGGGCCTGCCCACAGTCAAATACGGCCAAGTAGCCGAACAACCGAGCATGAATGAAACTCGGTCCAGGCGTCTTTTCAGAACTCAGCATCCAAGCCGTCCCCCTGAGAAGCAGGCATCACCCACTCTGCTCTGGCGGACCTGGGTGTGCTCCCTCAGGGGCTGAACTGGGAGCAAGGGACAATGCTTTTGCCTTCAGGTGACCTTTAAACCACTCCTGCACCTAACATTGACCTGGCCTTGCCACCTCCCAACCTACAAAAAGACATGCAGGAGGGAGGCGCTGTGACACACCTAGACAGAGGAGACAGGCGGCTCAGTCACCTACATTGGCAAGCTACAGCAGCCCACGGTTTTAGGGAACTTCAAACTTTTCTCACTTCCTTATATGAAATATGCTCAAAATTGTTTGAATTTTCTGGGAAGAAATGCCATTTGAAAACTTGACAGCATGTCTTGCATTTATGGGCCCTTTGGAAATGCATCAACTCAGACTGAGTTGGCCTAGGGAAGTGAGCAGACAAGTGTGTGTGTGCCGATTTGTTTGAGTGACTGCGCCGCAGCATTTGGTCAGTTGGTGGTGGGGGTCAGGGCGGTTTCCCAGGCCGGGCAGCCAGCTATACCCTCATTCTTGAACATGCCATTTGGTCTTGAGAAGGGCATAGAGGTCTCAGGACTTGCCCATCACTTTTTCTAAAGGCCAGCAGAGCCCACGGTGTGTAAACGCTCATGCACCTGGGGTGTCCCGCGTGGCTGCGCACTGAGGGCAGGGAGTGAGCAGGGGGCCTGGCGCTCCGCCAGCTGGGCCCTCCGGGAGACTCCCACTCTCTGCAGTGCTGGGCCCTCCCTAGAATCCTCTGAGGTCTCTCTAAGTCAAGGTCACTGGCACAGGGAGTCATGGATTCAGGACTAGAACCCAGGTCCCAAGCTCCCAATCCAGTCCTTTCAACATCTGTTGGCCTTGCCTGCCCAGGGCCACCTGGGCCTCCCTGTGGAGAACAGCGTGAGTCTGCAGCACCACACCCCTGCTTCCGGGTGTTGGGCACGGGTCAGCGTTGGTGGTAGGATTCCTTAGTGGGGTGGGGAGTGAGCTACACAGCCCCCATGGTGTCTCTCACAGCAGAAATATTTCACAGTTTTGTGCTGCCAGACTCAGTGCCTGCCCCAGGACTCGGGCCCCGCAGCGGTACTGAGCCACACCAGCCTCCCCTCGAGGGAACAGGCACCGCTGTCACACCTGCAGCCTGTCCGGCGGGGCCCGGCTGTCATGCCTGCACTGCCTTCTGGACCCTTAGCCTTCTAGCTCTTTAATGACTCATGGGGAGCTTCCCTATCCAGCCACCATGTGGGCTCTGCCTCAAGGGAACCTGAGGCTCAGAAGAGTTTAGAAACTTGCTTGAGTTCGCACAGCTACCTAGGGTTAAAACCAATTTCTTTCTTCTTTTCAAAGTACTTTATTGAGGCATGGTCGACATGTAAAAAATAATGGTATGTATTTAATGCATACAATTCAGTGAGTTTGGGAATAAGTATATACCCCTGAAACTATCACCACCATCAAGGCCATAGACAGGTATACCACCTCCCGAAATTTCTTCCTACCCCTTCTTTAATTGTGTGTGCATGGTAGAGGGGGGTAAAGAAGGTTTAACATAAGATCTGTCCTCTTAGCAAATTTTAAGTATATAATGCAATACTAAGCTATAGTATCAGAGACCTCCAGAATTTATCGTGCATACTTGAAACTCTATACTCTTTGACCTCCTCATTTCCCCTCCCCTCAGCCCCTGGCAACCATTCTGCTTCTCCAAGTTTGACTTTTTTAGAATCCACATCTAAGTGAGATCATACTGTCTTTCTGTGTCTGGCTTATTTCACTAAAACCATTTTCTTGACTCCCTAGACTGTGTGTTTGTTTCATCTCATTGTCTTGTCTCAGGTTTCATCAGAACTCCCAGCAGCCAGCCCCTTTCTAGGATACCTCTACTGGGAAGGAAGGAAGTGTAGGGCCCCAGACACCTACGGAGTTCAGAGAGCCCATGTGTTTGAACATAGCCAGGCAAGGGAAACTCTCCCCAGGCCAAGCTCCTCCGTCCCTGCATAAAGTGTGTTGTGTCTTTGCAAAGCCACCATTTCAGGTTCGACTTTATTGTGGACTTTGAGTCAGACATGTGCGGGTCCAAATGCCAGCTCTGCCTTCAACCAGCCACTTGGGTAGACCAGTAACTGCTGTGAGCAGGAGTCAATGTACGTCACAGCCTTGGCAGAGTCTGCCTGTGCAATAAGTACATGTTTAAAACTCCTGGCGCAAGAACTAGGTCTCTACAGTAGAGCCTGTAAGTTGGGGAAAGGTTCAATGCCCCACTGGGGAGAGGAGGTGGGCTGGGGGACAGGGAAACACAGCTCTGACTGAAGGCCTAGGCCAGAAGGAAGGGCAGTGGTTATGGCAACGAAGACACAAGACGGGAAGAGATGTTGTTAAATTTTGGCTATATGTACTGATGAAAAATTTTAACTTAAAAGCGTTTGCTGTTGCTTTATTTTAAAAGTATCATGTGTTCCTTATAGAAAAATCAGGAAATACAGAGGTGCACACACACACATCACTGCAGCCCCATCATGCGAGAGAGCCAGAGTCTTCCTGAGTTTTTCTCTGCACATTCAGTTAGTCCCCGTAAGTTTTCTAAATGAGGGCGTATACTCTTCTCCAGGCAGGAAGTTATTTTTCTGAACCTATAAGATGTTACAGCTGTCTTCTCATGTTAATAAGGCTACATCTCCACCCTGACTCTAGGAGGCTGCCTCCTATTTCACCATGAGGTTGGACCACTCTCTTTCTGAATTCTGCATTGAGAGGTGGGACAATGGGCGTGGGATGAGAGGAGAAAGGTACAGAGGGACCCTAACCAAAGTCCAGGGACTGGTCACTCTCCTGGGTGCTCCGTTCTCTGCACACAGCGGATGTCAGCTCTGGATGACCTTGACCAGGCAGGTGTTTTGGCCCCCCTGGCCTTTCCCAACCGTTCTGGCCCATGGGGGAGCCCCCTAGGCCAGCAGTTTTCCAGTGAGTCCTGTACAAACGCCAGTAGAGAGGACAGGTGATGGTGGAGCCAGGCCAGGGGCAGCGCGTGCACCAGGGGGAGGGCCGACCCCTCCCCCCAGCTCCCCACCCCGCCGTCCAGGGCGGCCCAGCAGCACTGGGCAGAGTTCCGTGCGAGGGGCAGATCTAGTTCTCAGCCTTCAGTGTTCTCTGTGGCATTTTGAGGCCTACCTAGTTCAGAGCTATACTCTCCCTGGGAGCACCAGATGAGAATGAAACTGAATCCTGTTAGTGCTAAATGGAAAAAGCCAAAGAATAAGAGCAGTAATGCCAGTGGTTTCCTTTGGCCTGGATAGAAAGGCACCTCATGGAAAGGGACCCTCAGGAACCTTCAGGATCTTGGACGGCTGACAGTTCCGACTGTTTGGCGTGAGCCAAATTAAAAACAGCCTGTTTGCGTCCCCGCAGCCACAGGCATCATGGTGCCCACAGACCACACTGCAGGTCTCTGGAACCCTCACAGAGGTTCTCAGGGTGCAGCCTGGCTCCTATGGGTGCAGTCTCAGCTCTCCAACTGCAATAGGATGGGTTGAACTAAAGGGTCTCGAAGTCCCTGCCAGTATCCCTTGATTCTTGGGAGCTGCCCAGGTTTCATAGGGAATTAAAGGCCTTTGGCAGCAGGCTCTCCAGTGTGAAGCAGTGGTCATCCAGGAGCCAGGCCGCCGGATGACCCAGCAGGGACACATCCCAGGCCAGGGATGACACCGCCCTCTGTGGGACAGACTGGCTTCTGTCCTGCTAAAGAGGACCACATCCTGTGATCCTGAGCCTGAGGCTGAGCACAGGCACTGACAAGCCTGGGTTTTTATCTCGGTCACCCCTTTCCAGCTGGGTGGTCCCCTCATCCAGGGCAGAAGGGATGGATCCCTCCATGCTCAGCTCCCTGCCTGGACCCGCAGAGTAGGAAGAACGGATACCCAGGGGAGGAAGAGCCCTCTCCCTGCCCCCCACCCCGAGAAGGGCTACACTTGGAGTGGGGAGCCCATGCTCTCACCTTTCCCTCACCTTCGCTTCTAGAGTCGCTCCCCAAAGGCCTGGGAGAAAGGCCCGGTCCGGAGGCCAGCCGGTGGAACCGGGAGACCGGGGTGATGGTGACAGGCTGGCACTTTCATTGCAGGGAACGGCAGCCTCTTCCAAACCGAGCTCTGCCAGAAGCAGGGGCAGGACCTGTCCCCCAGTAAGTGCCACAGCACTACCCAGGACACCCGGAAGGAGACGAGCAGCATGTGGGGGCTCATGGTGGTCGCTCAGCTGCTGGCGGGCATTGGGACAGTGCCCATTCAGCCTTTTGGGATCTCCTACGTGGATGACTTCTCGGAGCCCAACAACTCGCCCCTGTATATCTGTGAGTCACCGGCGTGAAGGGGGCTGCAGGAGGGCTGGGGTGCTGGTGTGACATTTACCTAGTGCTGAGGGGCTGAATCGAGGTCTTAACCCTCTTTGCCCCACAACACAGCAAATGAGGGCAGAGGCCTGGGGAGCAGATAGACCTGGTTTGAATGCCAGTTCTGTTAACTACCATCTGCGTGACCTGGGCAGCTGGCTGAGCCCCAGAGCCCCAGGTTCCTCGTCTGCAGGATGGGGCTGACAGCATCTGTGCACAGGGCAGCTGTGGGATTACCTGAGGTCATGTCTGTAACCATTTAACCCCATGCTGGGCAGAGGGGCGCTCCTCATCCAGCAGCAGCTACTGGTACTGGTCAGTCGTCCAGGCCTAGGCCAGGGCACACATGTCATTCCACTTATAAGAGCCATCCACTTATGGACAGGTTGGCCTCAAAGAAGCACATGTGAAATTGAGTGCTCCTATCCTTCTCTTAGCTCAAGCCACACTGAGCATCCTCAGGGCCTATACCCTGGACAAGACAGACTATACCCACTGGCTCTGTGGCCTCACAGGCTCCTGCCAGGGCCTCCAACATTGTCCCTGCAGAGAGCTTTGCCCACCAGCACTTCTCTGGGCCGGCATCTGTACATGCCAGGGAGGCATTTCCCTCCTGGCAAGTGGATCTCTTGGGCAGCTGCCTGGAGGAGAAACAGCTTTGGTTCTGAACATCTTAGGATCTTGAGTGGTTCTGGCATTGTCTGTGGGAAATGCCATAGGTGTGGACTTGTCAGGGTCAGGGACAGATGGGGTGACAGCTCAGGAATCCTTCAGCTAGGGAAAGAGCCTGAGGCCGCCACACCTTTTCGGTCCCCCTCAGCCTGCTTTCCCCTGCTCTTCTTTCCAGCCATCTTATTTGCCATCTCCGTATTTGGACCGGCTTTTGGGTACCTGCTGGGCTCTGTCATGCTGCAGATCTTTGTGGACTATGGCAGGGTGGACACAGGTGAGTGTGTGTGATGATGCCCATCCCATCGCCAGTTTCATGAAGCGACCTCCCTGTCTCCCCCTCTTCCACCTCCAGCCAATCAGGGCAGAGAATGAAACTTCAACTGCAAATGCTCACCGCTCTATGTGAGCCCTACGTGCTCTGTGTGAGCACCCTGCTGTCCTTCAGACGGCCAGGAGCAGATGGCATGTGCCTCCCCTCGCCATGGCACATGTTGGATGCTAGCAACAAGGCAGGTGCACTGCTGAAAAAAATAAACCACACTTTCTGTCCCCAAGAAATGTGCAATTCAGGTCACCTGCAGAGAAACCTTGAGATGTAAGAAGGGACCCCAGATATTGCCACTACAGCTGCCTGTCATGGTGGTGATTAAAAATCATTCCTGCCAGTCAGACGTGGCTGGAAAGCAGGTGTGAGCCAGACCCTCAGCAGTGACACCCCTGCCTGTGCCCAGCACTCAGATCAGAGTCTGCCCATCTCACAAAGAATATGGGCAGGTGGTAAACCTGCCCATGCTGCCAGAGCCTACAGACTCCTGTCTCCGCGACCATCAGACCATGATGTCACCTGCGTGGTGTCCTCTGCCTCTACTTCAAACAGCAGGGGAAAGCCAGAGGGAGCTTCGTGCCTCAGGGTCAAGCCATCATTGACTTTTTACTGGCACATCCTGCATTGGTTCCTGACTCTTGGTTAATCAAAAGATCCCCAACTAAGCTCCCAGTACACCAGGAGCTGTGCCCAGGGATGCCTGCCAATGTTTGGCTGAGGACCATTCTGCTCCTTCTCCTCCCCTCCATGCCTCGGGAGTTTCCTTACAGAGAGAAATGCAATACAGACTCTTAGACGTGGACAGGAGACTTGCTAGGAGAAAGCATTCTCTTGGAGGCCAGGCATCTGACTCTGTGGGGGGCTGTTTCCTTGGGCTCCCAAGGATTTTGAGGCCTCCTTCCTTAGGGATCAAATACAACTGGGCAACTGTAGCATTCAGTGGTTAAGAGCTCACATTTGGACACCTGGAAGACATAGGTTTGAATTTGATCAATAACCTTAACCTTAGACAAAGGCAAGGTTAACCTCTCTGAGCCTCAGTTTTCTGATTGGTTGGAAGTAGGTGGATGTAGCTCCTCCTACCTCTTAAACTTGTCGGGAGAACCCAACAGGATAAGAAACATAAATATGTGATCTTGTGTCTGGCCCATGGTAAGACTCAGGAGAGTCACTGCCAAGGACTGGGAATAAATTAAAGTGCAGCCAAGGCTCTGATCTCTTCAGCCTGGGGATTCTCTGGTGCTCCACTTCATGCTCAGTGGCCTCCGTTTTCCAGGAAGACCAGAATGGCCAGGATAGAAAATGTCAAGGATAGGATCTTGACCAAGGTCCTAGTTCATGGCTTTACCTCTTCTCCATCATGGGGCAAAGGTCCCTCTGACCAGAGGGTCTCTTCACAGTAAGATGAGATCATGCATTCATTCAACAAACATTTGTGTCCTTTGCTTTCTTTTCATCCTTAGTTAACTTGAGCCCCGGAGACCCTCGATGGATTGGAGCCTGGTGGCTGGGCCTGCTCATTTCCTCAGGCTTCTTGGTTCTCACCTCCTTCCCCTTTTTCTTCTTTCCTCGTGCAATGCCCAGAGGAGTGGAGGTAAGGTTTGGAGAGCCCATAACTCTGCCTATAGCAGTTTAAGAAAGGGAGGTGAGAGCAGCTGAGAAGCTGTAGCAAGTTAAGCAAATTCTGGGTGAAATCTAAATGAATTTCATGACGCAGGACTTCTCAGAGGCTTTGAGAAGTGAGAGTGTGGGCGAATTTACAAAAGGTGCCATCTCATCAGTGTGCCTTTCCTGTGGTAGCATCCAGGGATATCGCTCAGGAAACACCAAGCTCATCTAAATTGGGATAAAGAGTGAAGATCCAATAAAAACTGAATATGTGACCTGGCGTGTTGACTTTCGTATTGCATAGAACCCATCATGCCTGAGCCTGAAGGACCAAGTGAGCAGAGAGTCCTAGCGCTAAAGAGGGTGAGGGCGGGCTGAGAGAGGAGCATAGTTTGAGCAGACCTTCCGCACATCTTTCAGTCATGTCAGTTGGGGAAGGAAATCAGAGAAGGATGAGAATGGAAAACAGGGACAAGAAATCTAGGCGGGGACTTTGATGTTAGGGTGACGAGTCTAGACCTGTTCTGATCCCATAAGTTCTGGGGTGCTACAGTGATGGGGTTACCAGTCAGGTGGCAACATGGCAGTCAGGCTGAGGTTGGGAGTCAGGAAGGAAGACTAGAAACCTGAAGAGGCCGGTGCGGCTGAGGCCAGGAGAAAGGCTGCAGCCACTGAGGCCAGGGCAAGGACAGATGTTCTCGGAGGCGGTGCTGAGGACTCAGCAGTGACCTGGATTGGGGAAGAGGGGCTACAGTTAGCACCAAGGTTTTGAACCAGACGCAGAACTTGACATTCAGCACTGAGGTGTGTGAGATCTCCACCAAGCCTTGGGGATGGGGGTGGGGGAGTGGGTAGGAGGATCTGGGCTTGTCTTGGGGAAAAATTTCAGAGGTTGGCAGCACATCGTGGTGGTTTTGGGGTCAAATAAACCTGAGTGTGAATCCAGCTCTGCTGCTTATAAACTAGGTGAGTGCCCTCAGGCAAGTTTCCTCGTTCCTAAGCTTCCCTTCCTTCAAAATCTTGGAGGTGGAGTAGGTGTCTCAGAAGGGGGTTGTGAGGGGTGGGACCATGTGTGCGGAACGCTAGGCACAGTGCCCAGCGTAGGGGAAGTGCTCATGAAGGGTGGCTCCTGCGCCTGGTTGAGTTCTCCTGGGAGAGCCTAATGGCTTCAGGGCTCGGGGGCCTCGTGTCTGTGTGGTGGTCCGCAGCTATGCCTGACGAGTCCAAAGAAGTAGGTGAGTTCACTGAGGTAAGGTGATACGCACAGAAAGTTCGGGCACAGGGCCAGGACAGAGCTTTGAGCAGGACTCAACTTCAGGCCCAGAAGGAAGAAGAGACCCCATAGGGATATAGAAAAAGAGAGCTGGACATAGAGGTCATTCTAGACTAGAGTGTCTCAGAAGCCCACGGCCCCTGGAATCTGAGGACAGGGAAGAAATGTAGCCACAACAGACAAGCAAGGGGTGAGATCTGGCCAGGCCCTTTTTGGCATCAGTCGTGGGGAAGTTAGATAGGAAATAATATACCCAGAGGTATCTTGAGAGGCATTGGCCTGGAAGCATTTTGGTCAGCAGCCAAAGCCCTGGGCTCATTGACAGGCAGGTGGCACTTACTTTGAGAGAGTGTCCTCTGGACGTCCCCGACTCACACCTGGGGCTGCTCACTGCTGCCCATCCCTGAGCCACTGAGACCCGAAGGGTAGGAAGCGTGGCTGCAGGGAGCCTGGGCCATTAACACTCATCTCCTTTGTTGCCTTCAGAGGTCTTCTGCCGTAGTGGATGAGGCGAACAAGATGAAAGTCAAGCCAGGAGGCTCCCTGGTGGATTTCATTAAACGTAACTGACTGACCTGGCAAAGCCCTAGGTTGGGCGGGGTGGGGGGCACGGCAGCGAGGAGGACCCAAGCCCATGTGGTATTGTGTGTGGTAAGGGCGTTAAGGGCAGGTGGTCTATGACTTGGCCCATCTCACAGGAGGGGTTCCACCAGGAGACACAGATTCCAGCAGAGCTAGCCCCAGCCCATGTTCTTCTCTCTCCTCCCTTCACATGGAGGGTGCAGTCATTGGAGGCGAATGTCCCCACTGTTAGTCTTATACCTATCGCCCGCTGCCTGATTTCTTCCTGACACATTCTCATTTTATTTAACCCATGAGCATGCTGAGTGAGGATCTGAGAGGCTCTGTGGCTCTGGACAGGCCTCTGAACTCCTTGGTGCCCCAGCCTCTGCCCTGAGGAAGAAAGGAGCGCTGTGCGGAGGGAGGAGGCAGATGGCGGCCAGTCTCACCGTACTCCGCGTGATGACCGCGGCCCAAGAAGGCCTGGCCCCTGACCGCAGTCTGGTTGCAGGGTTTCCCCGCATCTTCCTGAGGCTCCTAATGAACCCACTCTTCATGCTGGTGGTCCTGGCTCAGTGCACCTTCTCCTCCGTCATCGCCGGTCTCTCCACATTCCTCAACAAGTTCCTGGAGAAGCAGTATGGCGCCTCCGCAGCCTACGCCAACTTCCTCATTGGTGAGTCCTGGACAGACCGGACACCCAGGAGCCAGAGGAGGACTTGCCCAGGAGAAAGAATTTTAAGGACAATTTTCTTGATCAGCAATCTAGAGTGCTCTTAGCAGATATCTGGGATCCCTATCCTCCCAGGCTGGGGTGGGGAGAAGCTGGGAGCTGCCTTCCTCCCTGTCAGAGCGGCTGGAAGCCTGACAGATCCCCCCATCATCAGGGGCAACAGAGGTGAGAGAGGGCATCAGTTTGGTGTTAGGTGAAATGCTCCTGATTTTGTTCCTTCTTCTCAAGGACTTGAATACATTTGCTTGGGGAGGGAGTATGTGACCCAGGGATTCTCAGCTCTGACTGCACTTTGGGCTCCCCTGCAGAGATTTAAATAATGCAGATGCTCAGGCCCCCCTCAATGAAATCAGAGACCCTGGGTGGGGCCCGGCATTGGGGTTTTTTGCCAGTGAAGTTGAGAAGCACTGATGTGGTCCCACCAAGTATCCAAGTGAATTATTGGGCCCAATCCACTGGTGAGCTTGACTGTATAGATGGGACACAGCGGTCAGGGTGTGAACCCTGACATCCTGTGTGGTCCTTGGCTGTGGCCTTCTGTAGCCTTAGGCCTCTGACTAGCAGGGAGAGGGCACCGCCAGGTCCTTCCTTTGCCCTGTGGTCACAGTGAGGATGCAATGAAGGGTCAGGCAAGGAAAGGCAGTAAATAAGGGTGCATTCAACCCACATCCATCTGGCTGCAAGGGCTCCACTTCCTTCTTTATCCTTTGCACAGACAAGGTAATCCCCTAGGTCAAGGTCACTCTGCAGATGTGCCTGGCAAACAGTCAATGCTCAACTAATGTGAGGTATCATATTGTAATGCAACATATCAAATGTTCCTTCAGGAAGCTGTGCCACTTCTTCGTGGCCCACCTCAATGTCTGTGTCCACACACCCTCCCAGGCCTGTGCACACAGACCAGCCTCTCTCTCTCTCTCTCTCTCCACCCCCACCCCCACCCAGGTGCTGTGAACCTCCCCGCTGCAGCCTTGGGGATGCTGTTTGGAGGAATCCTCATGAAGCGTTTTGTTTTCTCTCTGCAAACCATTCCCCGTGTGGCTGCCACCATCATGACCATCTCCATTATTCTTTGTGTCCCTCTCTTCTTCATGGGATGCTCCAGCCCCATCGTGGCGGAGGTCTACCCGCCTAGGTAATGGGAATGAGGGGTGAGAAGGTACCCTTTGCAGAGGTCAGAGCCTGGATCTGGCTGCCATACCTCTTCCTTTCTGCTTCCTCAACTCTCTTCTCTCCTTTCACTTTTTGATCTGCTCTCTCATGTGGATATTAGAAAACAAGGTCTTGAATAAAATGCTGAATTATAAGAAATCAGAAATCATGGTCCTAGCGGGCCATGAGGTTCTGTTCTGGTTTTTGTTTTGGGGTTTTTTTTAAGTACCAAAACCTAATTAGTTTAGTCTCAGGGTGAATCTGTAGAGCTGTGAGCCTCAGGAACCAGGAAATACACTGTGTTTCATGGAGCTGCTGAAGAAAGATGAGAGAATGAGACTTGAAAAGATCTGGAAAAGAACAATGAAAGTAATGGCAGACCTAAAAATAAGGGCAGATGAGGAAGAAGGCAGGCGAAGTAGACCTGTCAGTCTGCATAAAGCAACAGGGTCCTAAGTTTTAAGTCTGGCTTTGTGTTTAGGAAGAGCTTTAGAGCCTCGTGAAGGGAGGACGCTGAGCAGGGAGCATTTAGGTTTTTTCTGGGTGCCACCTTTCAGTCACCTCTTCTTTTAAATTTCACTGTTGACGTTACAACATTTGGAGATGCTCTGCCATTCAGCCTTAGTGTTTTCTCTGTCTTTCTTTTTGAAACAACCTCTTCTGTCTTTGGTGGGGGATGGGAAGAAGGGGTAAGCAGTTGGTCTTCTGCAGGCTGGCTGTGGGTTGCGAGAAGCTGAGCAGGCCCCGGTCCTTTTGGTGGCTTTCACTAGGAGTTCACACCGGGCTTTGTCATCAGACTGGGTTCTAGTTCCATCCCTGCCCTTACTAGTTGGGGAAAGTTGCTTAACTTATCTAAATTTCAGTGTTCTTATCCATAGAAAGAGCATTATAATTACAGAGTTATTGTGATGACATGCCTGGCACATGAGAGATGCCCCGTTAATGTTACCTATCATCAGTATCATTATTTTAGCAAAGCTCTGGACTGGGGTTTGTCAGCCCTATGCCAGCCCTCCCCAGAGAAGATCGTGAATATGAGATATGAAGAATGGTGGGCTGGTGAGATTGGCCACTGAAGTCTCCTTGGTGGAAGCTCAGGGAGATAGAGGGCCTTGGGCAATGTCTGCACAGACCTAGAGACAGGAGCCATCTAGACCCTGGATTGCTTCAAGGGGCCCCAACCTGTCCCTCAGCCTGAGCCCAGATAGAGAAGGGAAGAGAAATATTGCCTGTGACTTTTGCGTAGCATCTGCTGCCTTCTCATCAGAGTCCTGGTTGGTTATTTGTCTCAACCACTTCTGCAGTGGGGGGTTTGCCGACCAATCCTTTCTGACTAGCAGTTGGTGGGCTTGGGCCCCTAGTGGCAGAAGAAATGGAGAGGTGCCATGAGCACCGACCAGCAGCCAGTTCACCATTGGCCCCGATAGGCATACTTTAGATCCTGGCGGGGGAAGGGCTGGCCCAAGGCAGAGCCTCACAGGCACGCTGGCCCGGTGGAAACTCACGTTGGACTGGAGCGGAGAGGTTTTTCTTCGGCCTGGCTTTGTTTGAGTCCCCGTTTCCTGTTTTTCTGGCAGCACATCAAGTTCTATATATCCGCCGCCGCCTGCCTGCCGCAGGGGCTGCTCGTGCCCGGATTCCATCTTCCACCCGGTCTGCGGAGACAACGGGGTAGAGTACCTCTCCCCGTGCCACGCAGGCTGTAGCCACGTCAACGTCAGCACCATAGCCTCCAAGCAGCGGGTAAGGGCAGGAGGGGCCCCACGGGGTCCCCGCACTCAGTGTGTGCCCTCAAAGATGTCTGTCAGCTCCAGGATGGGCAGGCCCCTAGCCACTCTGTCCTGGCCACCGGGCCACACCCACCCTCTCTCTTTCATCCCTTCCCTAAGGTCAGGACCAGACGCCTACAACCAAAAGTCAGTTAAAGATTGGTCGGTGTTCAACAAATGCTCATTCCTGAGGCTCGAAGCCGAAACCAAAGCACTCCTTCAGCTGAGGCCTTCCAGCCTCACCCTGAGCGGTCCTAATGGGCATCCTTGGGTCCTGCCTCCTGGCTGTGTGCTAAAGCCACACAGACAGGTCCAGAAAAATCAAGGGCAGGGGGTCCTCTGAGATGTGAGCCTGGAAGGTTTGCACTGGAAACAGTGATCAAGGGCATTAGGTTCACCCCCTCAGCTCCCAGATGTGGCCATGCAACTGGTCCAAAGTCATGCAGTTATTTAGGGGCACATTTGAGCCTACAACCCAGGACCCTGCCTCAGTGTGGGGGCTCTTCTGTTCAAGATCATGTATCTCCTGGCCACCAGCCTTCCACTCGTGCAACCCACATTCACTAGCTCACTTGGAGAGGTCCTATCAGACCCCTGAGTGCTATGGCTCCTGCCAGCAACAAACTAACATGAGTCAGTTGTTCAACAAATAGGCAGCACCCAGCACAGCCATGCATGCTGAGGGTTTAGTGGTGAACCCATCGGACAAGTCCTGCTCTCATGGAGTTTGCATTCTATCAAATAAATGCACAAGATAGGTTTCGAAAGTAACTCAGGCCATCAAGAAAGTTACTGGACAGAGTGTGCCTGGAGGGCCTCCCAGAGGAAGTGACCTTAGGACTGAACAGCCAGAAGAAAACCCCAAAAGGACCTGGGGGTGAAACATTCCCACTAAAGGAGCAGCAAGCCCAAAGCCCCCTGGCGTGAATGAGCTGGGCATAGGAGAAAAGGCTGGCACTGAGAGAGGAGGAATGTCACAGCCAGCCAGGCCAGGGACCTGGCAGGGGCCGGAGCTGGGCAGGCCAGGCTTAGGTGTTCTTTTTCCTAAGAGCAGCGGGAAGCCTATACAGTTCCCCCAAGGAGTGGAATGCACCCTATCCCCTTGAGGCTGCGTGGAGGTCAGGGGCAAGGCCAGCCCTCACTTACCATCCTCCTCTCCAAGGAAAGGGAAAGCTGCTTCCATGGCCACCTCTATGTGCAGAGGACCATGAATCTTGGGCTGAGGGAGGACAAGGAACTTGGACAAGGTGTTCTTTTTGTCACCTTCTAGCCTGAGGAGTCTGTGGTAGCCTCTGTGGTTTTCTTATCTTTATTACTTTCCTCTGATTCATCTACTTGCAGAAATAATCTTGACAAGTTTCCAAAAACAACACAATCACCATCCATTAGCATAATATCAAGAAAAAAAAACAGTAAATTATAAGGAAAAAAGTCTATGGAAATAGTGGCCATATTGTATATAACTTATTTCTGAGCTTCCTAGCAGCAGAAATAAAGAAGGTGCATAGTTCTTGCTGTCTGGTAGAAAAAACCACATACCTCATTAGTCCCAATCCTGGCTTTATAGCTGCTTTGACATTTAAATGGCCATAGGCTAATCCATCAGATACTTGGAGCGGGTGGTGACTGAGTTGTACTATAGTGTTGAGCCATGTGGACTTGCAGGCTTGAGATGGGGACCTGCTTCTCTAGAGGCCTTTACAGGCAGGAGGAATTCTTCTCTGGCAAAGGCCCCGAGAGGTGAAGAATACAGTGGATTCCATTGTGTTTCCTCTGTTATCTCTTCCTATTTATACCTTCCTTACCCTCCCTGCAATAAACACACAAACAGCAAAAACAACTCACCAAACCATGGCCTGCCCATGCATAGGGTGGCCTGGCGCAGAGAAGAGCCCTCCCAGACGCTTGTCCCAAACGGGGTGTGCCTCCCCTGGCAGTAGGATCCTGCATGGACTGGTGTGGGCGTAACTGCTGCGGAAGCCCAGCCCACGCTGGGCAGCTGGTTTCCGTAAAAATTATTTGTGTCGCCCAAACACAAAAATTATTTGTCTCTGTGGTCAGAGGTAGGATCCACAGGACACCTTGGAAGCTTGAGCTGACCTCCTCTCCCATGCCCGAATCCAGCCTCACCCAGTTCCCCAGGAGACCTAGAGGACAGAGGGTTGAAACCTGAGGGACTGTCTGGCAAGAGCTCGTGCAGGCGTTTGATATGTGTGCAGGCAAAGTAATGATGACACATTTCCTCCTTTTCTTCTCTCCCCTTTTCAAGACCTACTTGAACTGCAGCTGTGTGACCGGGGGATCTGCTTCAGCAAAGACAGGATCATGCCCCATCCCCTGTGCCCACTTCCTGCTCCCGGCCATCTTCCTCATCTCCTTCGTGTCCCTCATCGCCTGCATCTCCCACAACCCCCTCTACATGATGGTTCTGCGGTGAGCGCGCCTCTCCTTCCCTGCCTTTGCCTTCGCTTTGTGTCCAGCCGCCCATTTGTCAGCTCTACTCCCTTTCCTGGTCCTCAGAGCCCTTTGAACATGATGTACAATGTTCTTTGGGTGAAATGGGGAGATGACGCTAACACAGCAGTGCCAGGGCCCCGCCCATGCCGGGCTGCTGCAGACCTCCCCACTGCATCTCCCCTTCCTCGCCCTGGGAGTGTCTCCGTTCTGCACGTGGGAGGCCACCCGCCCAGGAGGGCAGAGCTGGAATAGTTGAGCCACGTGCCAAAGCCAGGCTGCCTGGCTCCACAATTCGGAAATGCCTGTCAATTCACTTATTTTTAAATCCTAAAAGAACTGAGAGGAGGAGGAGAATTCAGTTGGATGCATGAAATCGGGGATGGAAAATTGGGACAGTTCCAGAAACAGAATGAAAGCTATGGGAAAGGATGAAAATGAAAAAAGCTAGTGACTGGGAGCCAGGACCCAGGTCAGAAGGGAGAGACTGGCCAAGGCAGGAGGGGAGGGCAGTGGTGTCCCATTGCCATGGCACCTCGGTGCCTCTGAGCTTTTGACAGGGAATGACCCTTCCTTCACCTCACTCTCTGCAGAGAAAACAACATTTCAACATAGTTCACCTAACCCACCCCTCCCTGCTTCCCTCCTGTCCTCACCTGCCTCACAAACAAGAGTGAAAAACACAGAATTTGATGCTGGGTCCCAGGGTCAAAGGCCCCGCTCTGCCATACACTGGTTCAATGTCCTTGGATGTTGCCAGTCTCGCTGAGTCTCAATTTCCTCGTTTATGAAAGTAGGTTAATGATATTGACCTCAAAGAACTGGTGGGAAAGATTATATGGCAAATTGCTTTGTAAATACGAGGTGCTCTACATATTGGTTAATTATCATTATTAACCACCTAATAATAGTAGTTATTATTATTATTAAGAGCTAGCTAGGTGCCAATGACCTATTTTCCCCAGAAGCCTAGGTGATAAGGAGGAAGCAGAAGTAGTCACTTGTCAGGGTCTGGGATTCTACCCTCTTTACAAGTTAACTTGCAAACTACCAAGCTCCTATTTCTACTACTGTTTCAAGGATGCTGGCAGAAGGCAGGAGACTCCTGGGTCAAAGGACTTTGTTACTCGTAGCACAACAGGCAGCATGGACCTCATGTTGCATCATCTCTCCTTGCCCCTCAAGTCCTGGGGGCTGACATGGAGGTGCCCAGCTGCATGTTTCTTGTGCAGTGGTTTATGTCATGGCTGAGGAACACTGAGCTTGGGAGAGCCACCACTCTATAGACCAAGCCTGCTCTTGGTCCAGGACAAGACTTTACCTCATGTTTCAAGGTTGCTCACTGCAACCACAGCCCTGAGAAACAGTCTGGGAAAGGAGCCGTCAGCACTCTGTCTCCTGAGCACACCCCTCCAGAGTGTGCAGAGATGCTCAGAGCCCCGTGCTTCTCCTAGTACTGCCACTGCCTCTTCTCTATGGCTCCCCATCCTGTGCATTCAAAGGACCAGCACTTTCACCTAAGCCCTTTGAGGGGGACCCCTTCTTATATCCCAAGTCAGATGGGCCATGGGAGACACTCTAACCCTGAGAAAGATCTGTGGGTGGCCACGACAAGGAGAGGGAAAAAGATGAGGAAATTTCAAGGGGGTGGGAGGTCACATCCTAGGGGACTTCTGTCACACCCCAGGGATGGGGAAGCTATGGGGGAAAGCATCTTTTCAACCACAGGATGGGCTTTTCCAGAAAAATCTCTGCCTTCTAAGTCTGGTCAGGGGCTGGAGCAAAGCTGGAGAGGAGGCTCCAGGACCCCAAAATGGATTAAAGCTAAATCCCACTGGGAAGGTTGAAAGAATGGATGCTATTTAATGTAAAGAAAGTGAGGCTTGAAGATGACTTTGTAGGCAACCCAAGCAGCGCTGTATCAGTCCTGGTCCCCAGCTAGGCATAGGAATATAGGCTGGGAGAGAAGATTCACTGAAAATATAGAAGGAGAGAGAGTGGCCAGAAAGTCAGCATTAATTCAGGGCTTAGGGGGACAGAGACCAAAGGTCTCAAGATTTCGATCAAAAGCCAAACTAGGTGCCCAAGTCCCATTTAGTTGAGAAACTAGGGGAGTCTGCCCAGGGATAAGGACTAAGGCATCAATTATGGATCGGGCCATTGGAGGGATCTGTAGGCTCAAAGGGAGCAGACTTTAGATTGAGATGTGGGACCCTTTCCACTGCAGGGGAGTTGGGGAGGAGGCCCACAGATGCCTCAGTCCCCTGCTACACCCCAGTGAGCATTGCTCTCACTAGGCCACCCATTACAGACACTGGAAGAAGGTCCCTTTCCCGTTTACTTCTAGTTCCCTTCCTTGCTGTCCCCTGAGCCCCCAGTGCTTTTCCCCAACAACACCCACAGGGGAATGTGTGTGCTCACACAGAGAGAAGCCAGGTGCCCCTGCGGGCCAGCTCCTGGTTTCTCACCCTTTTTTGGAGGTCCCCAGAAAAGGAGGCCCCGCCCACCACGAATTCATGGTGCACTTGGAAGTTGGAAGTGCTCCACATCCTCTGGGATGTCAGAGTGGGGCAAGACCACCTCCACATGCTCCCCCGGCCCAATCTCCTTCCTCAGCCAAATACTTTTCCCCTCTTGTAGGAAGAAAGGGGAGAGGCAGGACTGGCTGCATAATTTGCAAGAAACGCCAGGCTCCCAGCTCCAAAACGATTAAGAAGTTCAAGACAGCCACAGCAGAGCATTAAACCAAACAGAGGGCTTTTCTGAGGGGAGGACCTTTTGCGCAGGTTGTGTGCCCACAAAGCTGTCACTAGATAGAGGATTCTTTCAATTGCAAACAGAAGCCAACAGCCCTGGGGCCCTAATTACACTTTGTATCAGGGCTGCCTTTTATTGCTGCAAAACAGGTCGTTCAGACTTGCTACTATGAAAACGTGCTTCAGTATCCTCTGTGCTTCCAGCCCCTTCTGCCCATTACCTCTTGAAGGGGGCTCAAGGCAGTTCTGACAATCAGAGAGACCAGCGGTTCTCAAACTTGAGGTGCATCAGAATCCCCTGGAGGGATTCACACAACACAGATAGCTAGGCCCCGCTTCCAGGGTATCTGATTGTAAAGTCTGGGGTGGTGCCTGAGAATCTGCATTTCTAACAAGTTCCCAGGGGATGCCAATGCTGCTGGTCCAGTGATCAAGCTTTGAGAACCACTGATACAAACCACAGAAGCACTTGGCTGGGGTGAACACTGTCTGCCAGTCCGCTGAGGCTGGCTGCCCCTGACTGAGGGAAGGCACAGCCCCAAGTCCTCCTGCTGCTCATTTCCTGTTTCCTTTTTCAGTGTGGTGAACCAGGATGAGAAGTCATTTGCCATTGGGGTACAGTTCTTACTGATGCGCCTGCTAGGTAAGTGTCTGAGACACCCCCTTTTGGAGGAGTGGCCCCAGGACCTCTGAGGGGGATGCGGTGCAGGGTGGGGATGGGAAAAGTCCCCTCTCATCTCCGTTGTAAAGAGAAGGTGTGCTCGATCAACCCCACCCCAAATGCCGAAACCCTCTATGGGCAGTTTCCTTGTTACTTGTGGTTAAAAAAGATTTCATCTATGGCGTTAATTCCAAACAAAATCATGTAAGAAAAGCAGGCACAACTGAACATACCTAATAGAGAATTAAAGGCAGGTGTTTTTAAATCTTTCCTCCCAATTACAAAATTCACTCCTGCTACGGCCATTCAGCGAATGTTTCTCTGTGCATGCGGGGCCCTGTGCGGGGGGGACCCTGCCGGCCCTCAAGCAGCTCAGAGCTGCACACACGTGGTCAGCAGCGCACACGGGAGGGTGAGCCAACTCCAGGCAGCACGGCACACCAGCCCTCCCCGGTGCGTGGCCTGGAGGGAGGCACCTGTGTGTGAGTCTCACTAGTACACTGCAGGCTCATTCCCAGACTGCGTGTGCTGAACCGTCCCTTCTTAACACACCCTGGCACTAGGTAAACACATGGCACTAACACGGAGACCCTTGCAGTGACAGGTACACCAAGTAAAGGGACTGGATTCAACTGAAGACGTGTTTATTAAGGGCCTGGTGGGTGTGGACTGCAGTGGGGAGGATGGCAATTGCCGCGGAGGGACTTCAGTTACTACCAGGATGCACTTCCTGACCTCAAACGCTGAGCTTCCACAGAGCCCACTGTGCGTGGTTATCCAGGAGCTCCGTCTGCGCTTGGCCCTGTAGCGTCTTCCATTTTCATTCTGGGGTGTATTGGTGAAGTGACCTCCTGGGCCTGCTGAGTGGGAGCCTTTGCAGGGTCCTCACCAGCCAAGGTTGGGTGAGAAGTTCTGATGATGAAGAATGAATCAACTTTATTGACATTTCTTGGCTTCGGGCCACTTGCTCCTCTAGTCCCAGTACAGCCCCTTCAAACCCTGTATTACGAGCACAGAGGATGCAGGACAGCGGGATCCACCCTGTTCTGGAAGCGCTATGGTCATGCTTGTTTTCATTTATAACTCATTCATGACTTGCTCATAAACCTCCACTGGGAAGGAAACCTTGCATTCTGCCAGCCCAGCACAGCCAGCAGCGGATGGGCTCAAAGAGCCCTGCCCTGCCTCTTCCAGCAGAAGAACTGCCCTCCCATGGCTTTTGTTTCTTTATTTGAGCTCAGATAACTCAATATGTGACCACTATTAGAAAGCCCAGGCCTGGGCGGGGATTGCATTCATCACCCAAGAATGCAATTCCACTCTGGGATTTAAAAAAAAAAAAAGACTTTGTATTTATGAACCCTGGCTAGTTTCAAATTACCCACTGGCATTTGGTTGAAAATGTTCTGGACTTTGTTTCTATTTAGGGAACATCATGGGAAATCAGTCAGCCCTTGTGGCCAGTTACAGTCTCTCATTCACCTGAGTAGGTTCCAGAAGGTTCCCACTTATGGGTGGAGCCACAAGCAGAAGACTGCTGCTTCTCACAGGCCCCTAAGCAGCGTCTGGGACCCCTGAGAATGGGATGGCCTGGCCGGGGTGGGGATCCTAGGGGGGCCCCTCCCCAGTCTAGAGACTGCCTAGAACTGTAGCTAACAATAGAGGGGCCATTCCAGAATATGTAACAGCAGTAAGGCATTGGCCCTGCTGGACCAGGTCACCACTCAGCTTCGAGAAAGTTCAGGGGGTCTGGGACTGAGGCTCTAAGCAACCAGGGTGTTGGGGTTCTTCTGGAGGTGTAGTGTGAGCCTGGGAGTCAAATCTCTGTAAACTAAGGCTCAAAGTCTAGCCCTGCCTCCTCTTACTTCTGTGATGGTGAGCTCACCAAGCCACCTTCCTCATTAAAATGAGGACACCCACCCACCCACTTCCAACTGTTGTGAGACCCTGAGGAGTCAACGCCCTTAAGAGCCTCCTGCCATGCAGTGGAGGTCAGCCACCTCCCCTTGGAACCAATCCCAAGTGTGGGAACTGTGTTGTCTGTAAGCAGGATCAGGGTGACCTCTGTGACTTCCTCTGCCCTATAAGGGTCATGCAGGTCCCTTTTCTCTTCTAAGCTCTAGCAAAGGGGGAATTCAGGCTTCACAGAAAGCTATTTTGCTTCCCAAAGTCACTGTGATTCCTAGGGGCGGGGCAGAGCTATTCTCACACCTGTGACCTACCTGCACTGGCGTTGGGGGGCTGGCTTCCGATCCTGCTGGGCGCCTCTGCCTGTCTCTCTGTGTGACCTGAGCTCTCTGAACTCTCTTCCCACCGGCACCAGCCTGGCTGCCCTCCCCATCCCTCTACGGCCTCACCATCGACTATTCCTGCATCCGGTGGAACTCGCAGTGCTCGGGCCGGCCAGGGGCCTGTGCCTACTACAACAACGACGCTCTCCGAGACAGGTGAGGGCCCAGCCGCCGTGTGTCCCGGAGGCCAGGCCCCAAACCTGAGCAAAGGGCAGTCACCTATTCTGGTGGCTGTTGTGGGGGGTGTCTAAGCGTCCAGGACAGAAGACCAGAGGGGTGATGCCATAGACAGGGAGCAGGGACCGCTGGTGATGGGCACCTCAGCACTCACAGAGCATCATCCAAGTAACAAGGCCCAGGGCCTGCTCTGAGTTGGCCCCCAATCTGCAATCCCCACAGGCCCTTGGGAGGGACAGCAGCAGAAAGAAATGTGTCAAAGGGAAAGGAGATGGCTAGAGTCCAAGGGAGAGGCCATGGCTGTGGAATGATGATGCTAGGCCAGCCTCCCCCTGCTCAGAGAGAGGGGGCCCCATCACAGCTCCTAGAACAGGTCAAGGACAGGCCTCAGTGGGTCTGAGCCCAGCTACAGAGCCACGGAGTACTGTACCCCTTCTAGCCACCTCACCTGCTGCTATCATAACACAGACCAGGAACAGTGGGGAGAGTGGGTTGAGGGAGCTGGTTGGGTCTGGGAACATCAAAGTGGCACAGAAGGCTGGGAGAGGGGTGGACCAAGAGGGAGCCAGAAGGTGCCCCTCTTGTGGCTTGCTAGGAGGACAGGACCCTCAAGGCTAGCTGGGGCTGCAGTGTTGCCTTTGGCCCTCTAGGGGGCAGCAGTGCAAAGATGAGGACCCGTGAATTAGGCTCTATCTACTCACTGGGAGACTTGTATCCCTGCGGCTCAAAGGAATGAGGAAAATGGTCCCCACCTGGATGGTGACAGATCCTTCCCTGAGTGGCGATGACACAATCCCTGGTCCACTGTGAGAATGCTGCTGCTCTTCCTGGTGGCCCTGGGACACAGGCTCCAGAGCCTCCACAGCCCCTCACCAGTCCTGTGTCCTCCTGCCCCACAGGTACCTGGGCCTGCAGGTGGGCTACAAGGTGCTGGGCACACTGCTGCTCTTCTTCGTCAGCTGGCGGGTGAAGAAGAACAAGGAATACAATGTGCAGGAGAAGGCTGCAGGCCTCATCTGACCCTTGACCCTTGGCCTGGTGACCCCAGCTTCAGAGTGTGGACCTACCCTTCCACACCTGTCTGTATTTACTAATGTTAATAAGTCATTTCCTTTTGGTTTTTTAGATAAGAAAACAACCCCAGTCACCATTTGCCTTTCCTGCCTCCTCCCAAAGGCCCCCACTCAGGGTTCCTTAGGGCCGCTGTGCTCCTGGGCTGGGTGGGCACAGAGCTGTGGAGCTGGGTCTTCCCTGGCTGCTTGGGAGGGACCCCCACATGCCTACACTCTCCTCAGTGCTGGGTCCTCCGGTGAGGATGCCCCCTCAGGCAGCCCCTGCCCTGACCAGTCCTGGGGGCGGGGTTCTAAGTGGAGAGAGAAAAGGGGTATCTGTCCAGAGAAAGAAGGGGGTGGGCTGAGTGAGCTAGGGGATGGGGGAGCCTGGCTGTAGCCCCCTTGGTATCTGGGTTCAGCATCAGCACAGAACCCAACAGGGGCCGGCTCCCTTCCTCTCAGATCCATGCCTCCTGCCCCAAGAGGCTATTTTGGAAGCTGCCATGTGGGGAACTATGCCCAACGGGTCCCCTCTCATTACCCCCACTGGAACAGGGACCAAGACACCCCAAGGACAGGTCATCCAAACACTGTTCACATTAATTCTAGATCCTTCTGTACATGGGTCTGTGCATGGTCGTCTCTGTCTTTCTGGGGGTGTGTTTCAAACTAAGAAAGCCACACCACGGTGGGGACCTGAAGAAGTCTGTGAAATTGCCGTGGCATCCAACCTCTTGCCCACCCCCACCATAATGCGGGGACAATACTCCTCATCGCAAAGGGATGGGAAGATCTTCTCCAAGTTTCCTTGGGAGCTGAGGAGGCGGCTTCACACAAGCCTCTCTGTCTGGACTTCAGGTGCCACTAAATAAAGAGAAGGAGCCCGGGGTGCCAGCGAAGCCAGTGACAAAGCCAAGGGAAGGCCAAATGCTACCAAACTGGATGGTGAGCTGCAGCCCACAAAATAGAGGCTGGCGAGGTTTACTTTCAGGGTTTCAAGCACCCTAATATTCATGGACGTTTACCCAGCCTCCAGAGGTGGCGCCCTCTATAGGCCTGAGTGGAGAGACACGGCAGCTGTGTGGTAGAGGCCCCGAGTGAGAAGCCAACAAAGGAGGCCCTTTATCCATTAATATATTTATTGGACTTTGTGCAAGGCAATGCTAGTACATGGTTCTCCACTGAGCTTCACGGAGATCCCACCACTCTCCATCTACACTAGGGCTCCTCCCGGAGTGTGCTCCATGGGCAGGGGGGGAATGGGGAAGGCACAGCCAAAACCCAGAGGTTGTCAACAGCAACCTGACCATCCATGCCTCCCCCCTCAGACGGACCGTGCCCCTGGCCCTTGGCCAGACAGGAACCTGGCTACACTGTGTCCTCCGGAGCAGCTGGGTGCTGGTCATTGCCACATGGGGATATCCTGAGGGCCACTCCTCTTGCGAGACTCCTCCAAAGACATATCAGAAGCCACCTCCAGAAGGGCCAAAAAATGTAAGACAATGGCCAAACTTCCAAGAGACTGAACTCTGTGAAAGCCACTGTTACAGCAGCCTTATTTCCAAAGCCACCAGCCTTATTTCCAAAGACCTCACTCGGGGAGGAAGACCCCATGCAACCTCAGGGGCCAGTTTCAGCATTTAAAATGGTCCTGCTTGGAAAATGATTCCCTGCCGCTAACCCTGGTCTGTCTTTCTTGCTGCAATGTAACTAAATTCTGAAGGCACTGCCTTTCAGCTAAGCACACCAACAGTGAATGCCAACCTTCAGAGTCTGGAAGATTGGCTGCCCTCCCAAACCTTGATTCTGTTATGATATTGCTATTAATATATTATAATTTTGCTATTGATGTTAAGTTGGTCACGAATGTGTACTGCCATGTGTACCTGTCAGAGAGCAGGCGGAGCCTGCACCTTCTGGGCAAAGGAGGAGTCCATGCCACAAGCCACATGGACCCATGGTTGTGGGGATCAGAAATGCAACTCTCAGCCCATCATCCTGGTGCAAAGCAGAGCAGGTGCTTCTTGTTCCTTCCGTGGAGCCCTGCGGGGAACTGCCGAAGGCCCACAGTGCTGGGCTCTCAGGAAGCTTCACTCCAGCCCTTGAGTTTATATCCAGCAGTGGGGTTCTTCACAAAACAGCTAAGTCTAGAATGCAAAGCAGAATTAATATCACAGTCATCAGTGATCACTTGGTCGCAGCCAACATTACCGTTCCCCCAGCCAATCTTTCCTTCCAACTGCCAGCAGGGACTATGACGTCACCTTCATTTCACGTCTACAAACAAAGCTTGACAAACTTCCTTGAGTGTCAGACTCTCATAGAGGATGTTGGTGAAAGGTAGATTTCCAACCCCCTCCACTCATCCTCTGCATCTATTTATGGGGGTCTCAGCGGATCCGGTAATGGCACTTTTAACTGGACTCTCGTGTGAGGCCGATGTGGGTGGCTGTCAAACCCTGTGTGGAGGGTCGGCAGGGCAGCCCAGCCTTGGGGATGCCCACCCAGGCTTAGGCCACTGAGAAATTTACAGACTTGATAGGTCTTTGGTGGGCTCAAGTGTCAGTGAAGGATGACACAGCGAAGGGGGTGCCTACAAATCTGACTTCCTGGGTGCCTACAAATCTGACTTCCTGCGTGGGCTTGTAAAACAGTCCAAGAGCGAACATGCTTATTTGGTTCTTACCAGTACTGAGAAGGGAATCCTCGCCCTCTGAGCTTGAGAGTACAAAATGTGTCACAGCTATTTCTTTAAATCGATTATGTCTGGCTCTAAGCTCCCATCCTGCTGGCTGGCTGGGAAGCCCACATCAGTCATCCTTGGAGCTGGCTCCCAGGGCCATCTGCGGGCCCTTGGGTCCTGCCACTGTTGGTTTTTGCTTCTTTCCCAGTCTGAGGCCCTTCCCCTGCTTCTCCCCTGAGCCCCGAGACCCAGCAGAGGCGAGGCCCCAGGGCTAGAACAGCGTCCCTGTGAGCACACACCTGTGCCGCCCTTCCTGGCCCACCCTAGGAAGCCCAGCCCTCCGCTCCATGCTTCTCCCAGTCCCTCAGGGCTCACCGAAAAAGCCAGGAAAGGAAAGTCGGCAGGAACCCTTTTATCCCATCCTTCCTTGAACATTCTTGGCATTAAGAGAGGGAAAATTTAGTGAGAATTCAAATGCCGTAACTCCATAAATTATTCTTTGGCTCAAAACTCTCCGGAGTGATCCTCACCATAGCCCCACAATGGGGAACAGACTGACCTTAAGAACTCATTTGAAGACGAGGGATCTGAAATCAAGGAAGTAACCATTGTGGCTAACTTTGTGCAAATAATAACTGGTCAGGCTTGAACTCAAACCAGGCTGTCCAGTCCTCTCTGTCTGGTCCAGCTCCAGCACCAGCTCTATCTCCCCCGCTGAACTTGTGGGGAGGCCCCCCTGTACCCACTGGTGTTCACAGGCCCACGGGAGGGTTGGAGGGTGGGGAACCTGAGGGCCATGTAACATAGGTAATGGAGGTGGGGAGAACCAGGTAATATTTTATTAACCCATTTTCTTACTTCTTCAAGTAGCCAGATCATTACGACTGTTCACTAACCAGGGCTACTTTAACCCTACACACCATGTGTTAGAGGACAGTTGCAAGTAAAAGGGACAATGAGGAAAAGGCTGCCAGGAGAAAAGGCTCTAAGCGATCTACACATAGGCTGACCCTCAAGGGAACAGCCCACCTGGTGACAGGTTAGCAGATTCTTACTTAGGAAACAAAGCCATATTGTGATTTTTTTTTTTTTCCAACCAGTCTCAAAGATGGATAGATACAGTTCAGCCGGGGCTGAATCCAGTCAGTATCAAATTAATATTAAAATATTATATTACAGATTCCCAAAAAGATTGGCAGGAGCTGTCTGTGAGCGGGGTGGGGGGAGAGCAAGAGCAAGAGAGAGAGAGAGAGAGAGAGAGAGAGAGAAATCTTGCGAATCCAAGAGAGAACTCCTATCTTTTACAACAACAGGAATTAAATACCTAAGAGAAGTGTCTATCTCCTACTAATAGCACCAGAGTCATTATAACCTTTCCTCAGAGATTAAATATGGAAACAGGTCCTGGCCAAGCCCTTGACAAAACGTGAAAGCAAGCTTTTCCCTTAGGACACAGCCTGGCCATTCATCGACTTTTTACCCGCCCCCATCCTCACCCCTGCAGGGTGGCCATACCACACAGGAGTCACCCTACCTTGCTGAAGTCCTTGCTCCCCAGGCATCTGCTGCACCTTGGAAACAATAACTATAATGTGCACAGATCTTTACAACTCACAAAGCCCATCCATTTAACCAACTCCTTTAAGTCAAGATAGGCTTGGCCACCCATACCTCACTAATCTGTCACACGACACAGTGGGAGTTCACATCTTGCTCACTTAAAGTCCACTGCGGGTCCAGGTGAGTCTCCAGGGCAGTGGCCTCCAAATGGTGGCTCGATAATCTGGACTGTTTGGATCCTGAGGTTCCTCCGTTTCTTAACATGCCGCCATGATTGGTAAGGCAGGGGCAGGAAGTCTCTGAAGGTCGCTCACTGGTAAGTAAATGTTTTGGCCCAGAAGTAACATGCATCATTTATGCTTCCTTAGCCCATTGGCCAGAACTAATTGTGTGTCCTTTCATAACTGGCATGGGAATGGGGAAGGACGATCCTCCTGTGAGCTTCGAGGAGACAAACATCAGATAAGGATGAGCGCTGGAATCCTCTAGCACTGGGGTGAACCTGGGTAGACACAGGTGCCCACTGGCCACTGAGGTCTGCTTTGCCAGGCTGTTGGGGGCAAAGATACAGCCAGGAAGAGTTTCCCAAAGTAGGCAGTGTCAACGTGAGATAATTTCCAGACAAGGTCGAGTCCACAGGCAGTCTGCAGAGGGATGGGGAGGAGGGGAGAAGGTTGCCTCAGAGGAAGCAAAGATGGGGTGGTGGCTAAGAGAGATGCAGCGTCAGGGAAATGTCCTCTTGAGATGGGAGAGATGTGTCGGGGTCAAGGGCCAAAGGATCTGGGAGGCTGAGGAGCCAAAGGAGCCTGAAGCAAGGTTTCCGAGAAGGAGGAGGGGATGAACAGATCCACAGTGGAGGGATCTCACCCAGAGCTTCTGCCAGCCCTGGAAGGTCAGTACAACTAGTCCTGTTTGTAAATGGCACAAACGAGGCCCCCTTCCCTTGTCATTTGTGCCTTCATCTGTTCATTTAGTACCTGATGTGTACAAAGACAAAAGATTACAAATACAGACTCTGTACCCTTCGGGAACATATAATTAGGAGCAAGAATAAGACCTTAACAGAGGGCAAAGTACAAGTGCCATGAGGTCATTCAGTTGAGAGAACAGAGAAGGGGCTTGAACCTGGTTAGCCTGGTGAGGGATGGCCTGGATTCCAAGAGACTCCAAAATGCAGGAGAAGACATGCCAAGCAAAGGTAAGGCAGCAGGAAAACCTGTGCAAGTTCCGAGAATTCACTGGACAAAGGGACTGTGAAAGAGCACAGAGGTAAAGCCTGGCAAGGCAGTCAGGTTCAGGCTCAGAGATTCCTGCAGGGTCTCAAGGGCTGGCTTATAGCAGGCCAGGAATGGTGCGGCAAGCCTGGACCCACCCCCTGGTCAGTATCCATGGCTGGTTCTTCCCACCCAGGACCTAGAAGAAGGGCCTCAGTCCCCAACCAATGAGTCCCAGGCAGGCACTCCCAGCTCAGGGTTGCCTCCCGGAGCTTACGCTCTCAGAGGGACTCCTGAGCGGGCCGTGCTAGAACCTTGAGGAGCACAGGGAGCCCCTATCTCACATGCTTGCAGGAACCTCCCATCGGCAGCCTCCCTCATGGTCAGCGCTCCCAGGCTATCCCGGTCCGGGGTGGGGTGGAGGCTGCTCTATCCCCTTCCCTCTTCTCCCTCCCACCTCTTCTCTCCCCCTGTCTGGAGGCTGGAGCCCAGGCTCGGAGCTGGAAGTCTCAGTCGCAGGCAGGGTGGGGCAGCTAATTTAAAGTGACATCAGTTCAGGCCTCCGATGCTTCAGCTCTGTGCTCCATCAATGTGCCAAGCACCAGGCATCTTCTTTTGTGGACACCAAATCCATAAACGTGACCTTGGAGGTCCCGGGTGGGTACAAACATTTGTTTAAAACTTGGCCCTCGGTACACCTCACAGCCTGGGAGGTTAGGATGAGGTAGAAGCTCTCGCTTGGGTCCACAACTGGAAAAGGAACGAGGCACCTTTCGCACTGGTTACTTACTCCACCCGAACCACCTCTGCAGACACATGGAGATCCCAGAATGGCTTCTGCAGTCCTTCTATAGCTCAGGCATGCTGAGCGCTCAGTGTCCTAAGTGCTGTCTGTAAGTTTGTGCCTTTAATCGTCAGCATAGCCTTATGAGATGCAGTTATCACGCCATTTCACAATCCAGGAACCTGTGGCACAGCCGACTTGAGTCTTGGCTCCTTTTGTCTCATCTCCACGGAGAAGGGGGCTGCAGATGGGGCGAAGTTGAAGTCGGCCACCAGGGGGCGCCGCGCCATCGGCACGGACCCCGCCGTGAGACCGAGGAGGCACCACGCCCGCCCGCCGGCGGAGGGTCGCCGGGGAGGTGGGCTCTGCGTCCGACCGTGCGCGGTGCTGCCCCCGAGCCTCACCCCGGCTATTAGGCCCCGAACCTCGGACAGCCCAGCTTCCCCACCCGGCGCTCTCGGTCCTGCGGGGCTTCCACTCCCACCCCCACGCCCGCTCCACTCACGCATCCCCCTATTCTGGCCACCCAGAGTGTTCGGGATCTGGGCCCACCTGCGGCTGCTCGCCGGTCAGGATCTTGAAAGATTTTCCTCTTTCCCCCCCTCGCGACAAAGCACCAGTCTGTTTATCTATATTTACATGACAAACGTGTAATAGACACGTTAAAGAACAAGGGAAGTAAAGAAAAAGATGCCAGGAAGCACCAAGAGTGGCAATGGGAATGCGTGGCTTCCCCCCACGCCTCCCGACTCGTCATGGGCAGGGTTAGGGTCACCAGGCCTCAGTGTGCTGTCATCATTAGGTTGCTACAGTAGGGAGCCTCCGGTCCCTCCTTCCTCCAGTGCCCAGAGCACCTCCTGGGGCCCCGCCATGAGTCGGAGCGGTCATCAACGAGGAACCTACGTCTGTATCCCTGGCACTGTCCCTCTCGGGATGTGTCCACGTGCCCACCCTGCCCCAGACGCAGGCGCTGGACAAGTGCTGGGAACCAGGCTTGTGGGGTGAACCAAACAGAGAGACTCCCTTCCCCCTTGGAATTGGGAAGACAGACATAACCAAGAAGGCACACCAATGGTATGGTTGCAATGGGCTTACCAATTACAGGTGCAATAGTGCCAGGAAGAGAAGTGCAGACAGGCAGCTCAATGAGTTATCACATCACAATGCAGGGGTAAGTCGGGGCATGTGGTGGTGTCACCAAAGTGATAAAGGCCCGTTCCCTAAGGGACTGCAGATCAGGGGTAGAGGAGGTGAGCTCCAGCTGACCTTGAAGGAAGGGGCAATTTTGTTCATCAGGGGCCTTAGAACAAAGGTGTTCTGGGCAGAAGGGACTGCAGGAATGAAGGCTCAGAGATGAGAAAGCTTGTATGTTTGCCTGAGGGACAGGAGGTAGGATAGGTAGGGCACACAGT